TTTTTTTTACATATTTTATTTTTTTACGTGTTTTTTTTTCTTTGCATAATGCCAATAATGCCAAAAGTAAACTCAAAAAAAACAACTTAATCAAACTACTAACAAACAAGATGAACCTTTAAAAAAAAATGAAAGTCTCTTACAGCCAGTGTTGTCATGAGACATAGTTAGGACACTGATGGGACACTGATGAAACATTGATGGGACAGATGGGACATTTGGAACATATATGGGATATAGTTGGAACATATAGTTGGGACATATAGCTGGAACAGCAAATGCTTGGGACATAGGAAATGGACATCACTGCTTACAGCTGCACAAAAAAAGAACTTTATTTAAAAAAAATATCATCCCTTTTTAAAACAAAAAGACTTGGCTAATGAATATAACATTAGTGAAGGATTGGTAAATGACATTTTAAAGAAGAAAGACCGTTGGCTTTCTGTGGATACCAATTCATATCAAGCTAATTTGAAACGTAAAAAGAAAACTCTATTCTCTCTCATTGAAGAAGCGTTAGTAATATGGGTAGATAACACATTCAAAGCTAGCCTCATTATTACTGACAATATTCTTTCAACAAAAGCCTTGAGTTTTACTTTTTTATTAAAGGAAGATAAGTTTAAAGATTCTAGTGGTTGAGTGGACACCTTTAAAAAATGACATAACCTTAAACAGTACGTTATACATAGGGAAGCTGTAAGTGCGCTGCTCAAAGATCTCAAAACAATAAGAAAGAATCTCCGGCAAATATTAAAAGAATATAGTCCCGAAGATATATTCAATTGTGATAAACAGGACTGTTTTGGAAGATGAAACCATGTCGAATAATATCTAACGAACAAATATCAGGAAAGAAACAATCAAAGGATTGTGTAATGATCCTACTCATATGCAATGCAATGGGGAGTGAAAAGATGACGCTTTTATTTATACATAAGTATGAAAATCCTAGGGTTATCAAGAATATTGATAAAAGAACGCTTCCGGTTGAATACTATTGAAACTAAAAAAGTTGGATGCAGGTTTCAATTTGGAATGATTACATAATGTTACAATTAGTTTTAACCGGTTATGATACGTTTAACTGAAAGCCAATTGACCGAAACCCATTTGGCCGAGTCCAATTGGCCGAATGGACATTTGCCCGAAGGTCCACCTTACCGAATGACCTGTTCACTGAAAGGCCATCTTATTGAATGACCTGTTCACCGAAGGTCCACATTACCAAATATCCAATTCACCGAAAGTCCACTTTACTGAATGTACAATTCACCGAAGGTCCACTTTACTGAATGTTCAGTTCACCGAAGGTCCACATTACCGAATGTCCAGTTCACCGAAAATTCACTTTACCGAATAACCCATTCATCAAAGGTCCACCTTACCGAATGTCTAGTTTACTGATTGACATTTTACTAATTCTGTTTTACCAAAAACATTTTACCGAAAATTTAATGATTTACCGTTAAATTAAAATTTATAATTTTTTTTAAA